AATATGATCTCTATTTAATCAATAGCTATTGAATAAGCTCATGTTCGAGTTATAACCCCTATCTTTGAGTAATGGAATAGAAAAATTCACTTAAAAACTCATGTTATGTTTTACACAATAAAAATTTGAGTGAAATCACCCAGTTTAGAGTATTTTCGCTCATTACTAATCATACGTCATACGCGCTTCTTCGATACCGAATAAGCTATTTCCCTGTTCCTCAGTTTTTAATTATCTGTTCGAGTCGTAGGTTGTCTTGTTCCTTCGAAGGTGCCCAGGTTACAAGTCCATAGTGTATGTGTGTGTGATGTAAAGTGTGACAGTGGCCGCGTGGCGTGGTGAAGCGAATACGAACTCATAACTCCTAAATATGTTTTATGTTAAGAACATTTTTTTTCACATCGCAGAAATCCGCCTAACATATATTCAAATTCGACTGCGTCTACTGATTGCCGCAATGCTCGGATGTTTCCTGGACTAATTAGCGTAGCGAAAATCTAGGTACTTTCCCTCAATCTGGAACTGGGAACTGGAACATTTGGCAGAATAACATTTTTTTTTAATTTTCAGGAGGAAAAGTATCTGGATTTTCCGGAGGATTTTCGTTATTAAAAGTTAGTTTAGAAATTAGAAATATTCGAGAATGTTGGTAGCCGAGCTGACGAATGCTCTTAATAAAGCGGATTTTTGCGATGTGATGCAACTTTTCTAGACATCTAGCTTAAAAAGTTCCTGTATTTTTTCCAAAAAGAGTTGAAAACTTTTTAAAATGTTTTTGATATTATAATAATAGTGTTATATTTGGTTTTATTTGTTTTTTTGTCAAATAAAAATGACAAATAAAAATATTTTTGAAGGTTCTACAGTTTTTTATTTGGTTTGTTAAAAAAAACGAAATATTCTAAATGATTTTTTTAAAAGCTATGTAAGCTAACTTGTTATTTTATTACAAGTGACCAGATGCCTCCCAAAAGTGAATTTTAGGAAATGGACATGTTCGAGACCATGTCCTAAACTGAAACTTACCTTTGAAAGGCACCTGCCCACCTGTTATAAAATAACAAGTTAGCTTACATATAGCTTTTAAAAAAATAATTTAGAATATATTTCTCAATACTGAGTGAAATTAATACTCAGATATGAGTACTAATCGAGTTAAGTGTAACACAAATTTGAGTAAAAGTCACTCAATAAAAGGTGTCTTGAACTCAACACTTAGTGAGTTCACTCATTTTAAAGTGAATAAATTATCAAAATCGATCAAAATCCTACTCAAGGTAAACAATAATGAGTAAAAAGGAGTCTTTCGTCTAATCTCGATTGAGTGAAAACACTCAGTGCTTTTCACTCTGAGAATTGAAGATTCACTCGGTTCTGTAGAGTGGAAATTTCACTCAATCGGGTGTGGACAGAAATTGAGAAAGTATTGAGTGAAATCTGAGTGAAATTTCACTCATTTTTTTTTACAGTGTGTGTATACACATTGGTCGAATGTTTTCTTCTTTAGATAAAGCGGCATTCTAGATTTGAACTTTTAACTTAGTTCTTCTCTTGATTTTATTGACAATTAGGACTATGTCATCAGCGAATCTTAGATATTAGCATATTCTCCATCTATTTTAATCCTTTGTTGGTTACCTGTGACCGCATTCTATTTGTAAGGAATTGTAGTTTTATATTGATATGCTTTAGATAAATAATATTACAATAATTGTTATGAATTGGGGGACTTTGTGTATTAAATTGTATACCTAACTATTAGTTACTACATATTATAATAATCAGTCAAGTTAGTATCTTCAGAATAACCTCAACGAAAAAATAGTAAGAAAACAAATTATAACGGTTGTTTTTAGTCATAATCCGGTTACTGAGGGCTTTTGGCTTTAAACCTGATTATGGTTCTAAAAAAATGGTTCTGTGGTTTTGGTTTACCGTGATATGGGGAAATTTATTAGAATTTTGATTTAAAAAGGGTGATGAAGAATGGAAATGTTATCATAGATGACCTGGTCTCTAACAGATAACAAAATAACTGATCAAAAAGTAGTCGAAAGTCGGTGAGTCTGTAATGTAATTGTAGGTGATTTTTTAGAAAATATCAGTTGATGGAGCGCTGTAATTTGTCCAATATTCGAAAAATATTATAAAACTTTGGCGTATCTTATGTCCCAATAAAAGGCATCTAATAAACCAAAAAAAAAATATATTGTATAGCATTTATAATGACAATAATGTAGTATATACTTAGTTCTTTCCCTGCGAAGTCTGCACAATACTAACTTAACACGTATTTGAGAATAAGAGTTTACAAAGCATGGTTTCTCTCCTTTCGGTTAATAAGTGAGATACTTTCAAAAATGAACCAATTTGAGAAAAATACTTAATATAGCGTTTAAAATTATAAAGGGTACTAAAAAAGTCAAAAAATTCTGCGAGAAAGGGACGGTTTTTTGAACACACCATGAAAATGAGTTATTAACAAATTTGAGTGTAATTGAAAGGTTTGAAATTTATTAGATTATAAGCCCTGCAGAAACAAATATGCCGAAAACTGTAAAATGGTTTCTTTAATTATCTAAATCTCCCTATTTTATGTAAGTATATGTTCCTTAAGTATAAAATTTAAAGAAGATTCATAAAAGAGGGTGGTTTCAATCAAAATGAGGTCACCGAAAGCTTTTGGGTTAAAACCTGATATTTTAGACTATATTGCAAATATTTTTTACTAAAAAAGGCTCTTTACGGTTTCATTTAATGTAATATGATGAAATAATGTATAATTTTGAGTTAAAAAGAGTGACATAAAATGAAATCGGAACAAGTTTAGGTATAATCACAGACTAACTTAACTGAAAGATAAAAGGCCAATATAATCCTAATTTAGTAATTAATTTTTACTCTACTAAGTCTGGAAAATTCTAATTTAATTCCTAAGGGTTGATAAATAAGGTCAACTTCTTGTTTGAGATATAAAACAGCTCATAAAAGATTTCAGAAATGCACCAATTTCGAAACGAATACTTAAAATAATGTTCAAAATGATTAATGATACCAAAAGTGTATAGGGCTAAGTTTAGGGGTTTTTGGGGTAAGAGTTTTAGGCCTTAAAGGTTCATAAACATCTAATACTAAACCTATTGAGAGCAAATTTGGGGATAATTGTAAGAAAAAAACCGACATTTCTAATTTCTTTGCCATTTATTGTAATTGCACTTTATTTAAGAGAGTTTTTTTAAAGACCTGTTGAAACAAATATGCCGAGAACTGTTTAAAACGATAATTTTGAATATATTTAAGCTTTAGTATATGAAATATAGGTTTGTTTAGAAGAAACTAGACGGAAGAAAAAAATAGAATTTACAAAGGGGGTGTTTTTTTACAAATATAAGACCACTGAGCGCTTTTGACTAGAAACTTAATTTTTAGACCATATTGCAAATATTTGTAATTAAAAAAGGTTCTTTGGGCTTTAATTTAGCGGAATATGATGAAATTTTGCATAATTTCGAGTTAAACAAGGTGATTAAATGTGAAAACGTCATCATTGGTGACGTGGTCTGGCACAGATTAAAATTGTGTATGTTTGGATCGGGATGTTTTTCTCGTAATTTTCAGAGATTTGGGGGAAAATATGTATAGATAAAAGGTGGAAATTTGTCAAATGTTTAATAAGTATATAATCTAATACAAGGCATTTAATAAACCAAAAAACCTTTAATGTATAGTATATTTATAAAACAGTATAGAATAATTAAGTTTATAGCAGTAGACATTAGTATAATTAATTTCTACTCTACTAAGTCTGCAAAACGCTAATTTAACCCGTATTATATGGTAAGGGTTGATGAATAAGGTCAACTTTTGGTTTCAGATAAAAACAGCTCATAAAAGCTTTCAGAAATTCACCAATTTTAAGGAAATACTTAAAATAGTGTTTAGAATGATTAATGACACCAAAAAAGTCAGAAATCCCTATCAGAAAAGGTCTGTTTTTGGAAACAAACCCTAAATATCAGTTTTAGGCCTAACTGTTCATAACAATCTAAGACTAAACCTATCGAGAACAAATTTAGGTATAATTGAAAGATAAAAAGCCAATAATTCTAATTTCTTTGCCATTTATAGTAATTATCCTTTATTTAAGGGTGTTTTTGCAAAGACCTGTAAAAAGAAATATGCCGAGAACTGTCTAAAAGGGTAATTTTAATTATCTTATCTTTAATATATGATGTACAGGTTTGTTTAGAATAAATTAGACGAAAAACATTTAGAAAATTTACAAAAGGGGGTGGCTTTTATCAAAATGAGGTCACCGAGCGCTTTTGACTTAAAACCTGATTTTTTAGATGATATTGTAATTGTTTTTTGTTGAAAAAGGTTCTTTGGGGTTTGATTTAACGTAATCTGACGAAATTTTGCTTAATTTTGGGTTAAAAAGGGTGATAAAAAATGAAAACGTCATCATAGGTGACGTGGTCTGGCACCGATCGTAACTTGAGTGATAAAAATATGTTTTTTTGAGTCGGCAGGACTGTAATGTTGTTCTAGGTGATTTTTTAGAAAATCCTAATACATAAAGGGTGGTATATTGCGAAAAATGGGTAAAATATCCGGCAAAATGCGCATTTAAAATCGAATCGGCGAACCGCGGCCATTTTGTTGGACGGTTCCTCTCACGTCGCCCGGCCGCCGACTTTGCCGTCTGCTTTGCGAATTTTCGCCCATTTTTCGCCACCAAATTCCATCTTTAGTGCCATGGAAATTTCGCCAAGGGTTCGTCCAACGACTCACGTGGCTTTCGGGCGGTTTGCCACCCGGTTTAGGGGCGAAATCACCCCGTTTGCCCGATCTCCCCACTCGCAGGACGGGCCGATTCCGTTGTGCGCTTGTGTGCTGACGTAAGGCCGACGTAGTTCCGTCTCGTTTCCACTCGCAGGATTCGCGCATCGCACATTCCGTACCCGTTCTCGGTTGGTTACTATGTAAGAAAACAGTAGGCAATATCGTTCTAGTCGCTGTCAAAACGGTTTCGCGTGAGCTTGCGGTCGTTCGCAAAGTCCGATATTTTCTGTGTCGTCGCATTTTTTACTCGATGGATTTTTGCACTTTTTTCCTGCACGAAAACCCACCGCGAAATATCCGTAAGTTATTTTTATTGTCTTTAAACCTATTTTTTATATTTCTCAATATTCCTCGTGTTTAGTTACTAAATCACTTTCTCATAATCCTCTCTCAAAAATATATTAATAATCCATTCAGAAAAAATCAAGGTATTTGAAATATATATATTTAAGTAGATGAATATATCTATACATAACACGTTGCCAAATCAAGAAGGTCTACAAACGCTGGCCGACTGGAATCTAATTGTAATTTTTATGTGGGGGGACGTATAGTATGTCTAGTCTATGGAGGCTCCCTAAAGGAGAAGTCAAACAGCCGAAATATTTTACACAGTCATTGGTGAATTTTTTTAAATTCGGTTGCCTAGCAGACGAGACTTGTGTGTGTGTGTGTGTGTTTTAAAAGCGAAATATATCGGTCCCTCTCTGCATATATAACAAACTTTGTCAAATCCACGACAGTCACACACGGTCGGCTTATACGTGTGTTATGTACTGCGTGCTTATGTAACGGATGTCTGTCGTCTCACTCGATGCTATACATGTTTAAGTTTTATTTGCATGACTTATCTTTCTTTTCGGAATATATGAATTCGGGCTGGTTTTAGGATAAAGACATCTCCGCGACCTTATGATACTGGAATATTTTAATTTTTTACGATATAGATAGAAATTTAGGATGTTCTAAAGTTTTTATTTCAATTTTTATTTTCGAAATCATTCACGATTTTTTTACTTTACCCTGATTGTTTAATGTAATTTATTTAATCTATTACAAATTATCTTAATTAAGTTATTTCTTAGAAATCAATCCTTGAAGTAATGCCTCTTTAAATTTACTAAATTTTGTAACATTTTTGAAAGTTTATCATTGAAAGAAGTTGATTTTTTTAAAAGTTATTCAGTTTCTTTTGTGACATTGGATTAATCAAGTTGTAATAAAGTTATCTATTAAGCATTTGATTTTTGGTATTTTTGTCGAATTCAATTAGAAAGTGATGATTTTAGATAAAATTTTATCTATAAAAATTTGAAAATTTTGTTAATGAAAACTTATACAAAAGCCCAAAGCTTTCGTTGAAAGGTTTAATTTTTCTTCCAACATATGGAATTAAGTACAAGGTTTTGATTGCTTTTTGAAATTTCTCAAAAAATACATTTTTTTCGAATTGTGATGCGTAAAAAAGGTCATCCAACTCGTTTAATGACATAAATAAATCAAATCACGAATTACATTAAGAGACGAATTACAAGTTGCCATAAAGCGATATATCTTTTTGCAGCATTTTTGTTGAAACAAAATGAGAAAATTTAGATTTTAGATAAAATTTCATTTTTGAAAATATTTTCATTTGAAATTTCAAAAGGTCACTAAACTTTTTTAATAACACTAAATAAATCAAATCGCCAATAACATTAAAAGACCAATTACAAGCTGTTATAAAATGATATACCTATTTGCAGAGACATTTCATATTGCAGCATTTTTGTTGAAACGAAATGACAAAATTTAGGTTTTAGATAAAATTTAAATTCTGAAAATTTTTGAAAATCTTTTCAATGGAAATTTTAAAAGGTCACTAAACTTTTTAATGACACTAAATAAATCAAATCGCCAATAACATTAAAAGACGAATTACAAGCTGTTATAAAATGATATACCTATTTGCAGAGACATTTCATATTGCAGCATTTTTGTTGAAACGAAATGACAAAATTTAGATTTTAGATAAAATTTCATTTTTGAAAATTTTTGAAAATCTTTTCAATGGAAATTTCAAAAGGTCACTAAACTTTTTAATGACACTAAATAAATCAAATCGCCAATAACATTAAAAGACGAATTACAAGCTGTTATAAAATGATATACCTATTTGCAGAGACATTTCATATTGCAGCATTTTTGTTGAAACGAAATGACAAAATTTAGATTTTAGATAAAATTTCATTTTTGAAAGTTTTTGAAAATCTTTTCAATGGAAATTTCAAAAGGTTATTAAACTTTTTTGATGACACTAAATAAATCAAATCGCCAATAACATTAAAAGATGAATTACAAGCTGTTATAAAATGATATACCTACTTGCAGAGATATTTCATATTGCAGCATTTTTGTTGAAACCAAATGAAAAAAATTAGGTTTAGGTAATATTTCAATTTTGAGAATTTTTGAAAATCTTCAATGGAAATTTCAAAAGGTCATTAAACTTTTTTAATGACACTAAATAAATCAAATCGCCAATTACATTAAAAGACGAATTAAATGCTGACATAAAAAATACTCCATTATACAATACCAAATATGTATTGTATAAGCATTTCAGATGAAACGAAATGAAAAAATGTTGATTTTAGATAAAATTTCATCCTTGAAACTTATGAAATTGGTAATGGATAATGTAATTTTTTCGCAATATACGTTATCAAGTTGTTTTTTTAATAGATTTATCTCCAGTTAATAGTGAAACATAAAATTAACTTATTCATCTGATTTACTGTCCAATGATGTTTTTAAATCTTCTAGAATTAAATATAATAAATTTTGGTTTACTTAATTTTAAATCTCAGTAATGAAATATGGTTTAAGTGTAATATTGTGTTTAAATATTCTGAAAATTTCATTGGTTGATTACTTACCTATCTAATTTAATCGTGATAAGATAACTTCAATTATTTTTTACCAGTTTTAAAACTGCAAGATTTGTCTTCTTGACAAATGTTTGTAACAAGCGAACATGTCATATAGATATCGTAGGAACCTTTCCTGTATATAATATTAATCTCCCCATATTATCGTATTGTAGTCTGCCCCTATCTTCAGGGATTAACTTCATGATATTAAATCTGTTTGAATTAATCTAATAGCACATCATTTATTTCAATTTAATCCACTATGCATTATCCGAATCAAATATATTTTGTAGTTGACTTAATCTAGTGTAAATTGACCATTGAACCATAAATGGTTTTGAGAAAATCAAAATAATTAAAAAACCTGAGTGAATATATATGAGCATTTACAATCTTCAAAGACACTCGTTTTTTGAAGCAAAATATACAACTTCTTTCATATACTAGAATAAATAACCTCATTTTCATTTTGCCATTGAAGTTATTGAAGTCATTTTCGTTTAAGTATAATTCTAATTCTGTCCAGGTGATATATTATTGAAGCAAAAACAAGTAATTTAATACTACTTACTTTTTGGACTGGCATAAAATTAGAGATAAATATTTTAAGTCAACTTCTTCTTTTTGCTGCCATCGATAATCTGGAAGGTAGTAACATCTTTGTTTACTAGGACGTTGTCCTCAGGCACATAATGGTCTACATTCTTAGGGAGTGTCTATATCGACTCTTCCGATATATTCGGCTCACCCGGCCTCTAAATGGCGTGAATGAACAGTGCGCTTGATAGTTCTCACTTTTATTTCTAATCAACAGGACCATTAAGTTCTTCAGACGTTTATCCGTCCAAATACCCACATCGTTTAACGTCGCTTAACTTCAGTGAAGAATGAGGACTATTTTCATACCAAAAATAGTGAATTAGCATACTAGAAACACTACGTTTCAAACATTGGTTTGTGTCCCTTGGTCAATCGAAACAAAAATTAAAAGAAAATAAAAAATCGTAAGGATTATACTTGTAGACTGTTTAACGAGAGGATACTGGACAGTGACAGTTCTGTCTGATATTTTAATTCACATATAGATTGTACTTTTGTTATTTTTTGGATGTCGTCTGTAGAAATATTTTAAAAAACTCCTTGGACCCACTTTGGTATAATTGCAAATTTAGAAAAAAATTGAGTCCTGGCATCACCTCTGCTGATTTTTAACAAAGCACTATTCAAGGTGCTTAAGGAGGAAGGTTCCATCAGTGCGTTATGCCAGTAGTATATGGTGCAGACACACACTGACGAAAAAGTCCATGGAAAAAAATCGTGTAGCCCAACGAGCTATGGAAAGAGCAATGCTTGGTATATCTCTAAGAGATTTCTAAGATACCCAATACAGTTATAAAACCGCAGCAGCCGTACATGAATAACAGATACTATATATCTGCCAAAAAAACTCAAATTGAACTATGCTGGACATACTGCCAGAAGAACAGACGATAGATGGACCAAGCTAATACTAGAATGACGGCCAAGACAGGATATCCTCAGAAGCAGAGACAGACCTCCGACAAGATGGTCAGATGACTTAAAGAAATTTACAGGAAACTGGATCCAAGTGGCACACGATCGAGAAGAGTGGAAAGATTTATGGGAGGCAGCAATCCAGCAGTGGACACTTCAGGCGGGTTGATGATGACGACTATTCAGTGGTCAAGGAATACGTAAGAATTGCAGATGATAAAATTCTACAAAAAATGCTACGATATCAACCTCCAGGAAGGAGAAGTATTGGAGCCTAATCAATAACAGCAACATAATCATTAAAAACGAAAAATTCGATTACGTTTATATGCAATTTCGGCGAGACTCCCTCCCCCTAAAAAAGTCTGCTGCCTTACTACAAAAGTACATATTTTCAGAACACTTAATACCTCTAGTATCCCAGAAATAACAATGTAAAAGTCAAAATAATCCTTTTCGTCACACCAAAACAGGAGGAGATGGAAGTAAACGGATGCTATATTTGGATTCAGGGGGAAATAAAAAATTCAGTTTATTATTTAACAGTTATTATTGATTGTCTGAACTAATTCAGTGAACATTTTTCAAACTTCAATAGCATAGAGATATCTAATAATTTAATAAACTTATTTTCGTAAAATACTCATATTGTATTCATTTAAGTCATTCTAAATCAATTAAAATGGCATATTTTTCTAGGCATTAATGAAAACACCAAATAATTCATTAATTTGGAGCATTGAAGCCTTTGTCAAGCCTTTATCTGTTTGGGTCGGTCGTTGACCCAGTGACGGAACCTTCACCATAATTTTGATACGGCCAGACGCTAGAAAGTATTTCTCTCTCCTTTCCCAGTCTGCTTCTGGTACATT